TATTGGGATGATCTCTAACCAACTGAGCTACGCAGCCAGGGCCTTAATTCAGTACAGATTTCTTAACCTCCATATATCTGGTGGTGAACACAACAGGCACAGCCCCTGTTCTGGGGAATCCTTTGTTCTAGCCAGGGAGACACACTCGAGACTAATAATTGCACAATGATTAATTCACTTGTGATCCATGAGGGGCTGCAGCATAGCATAAGGATATTAAAAGTTTGGGTTTGACATGAAGACCCCAAATAGCCAAAGAAATCCTGAGGAAAAAAGAACAAAACTGAAAACATCACACTCCCTGTTTTCAAACTATACTACAAAGCTATAGTAATCAAAACAGTATGGTATTGGCAGAAAACCAACAAACTAATGGAACAGAATTGAGAGCCCAGAAATAAACCCACACATATATGGGCAACTGACTTATGAGAAAGAAGGCAAGAATATACAATGGGGAAAGTCTCTTCAGTAAATGACATTGGGAGAATTGTAAAACCACATGCATAAGAATAAACCCAGATTGCAATTTGACACCATACACAAAATTAACCCAAAACAAATTCAAGACTTGAATGTATAAAAGCCTCAAAACAATAAAATACATAGAAGAAAACACAAGCACTAACCTGGCCCTTCTGGACCTTGGCCTCAGTGGCATTTTCGTGAATTTGCTTCCAAAAGCAAGGGAAACAAAAGCAAAAATAAAACAAATGGGACTACATCAAACTAAACAAGCTTCTGCACAGCAAAGGAAACCATCATCAAACTGAAAAGACACCCGGACTAGTGCAGCTCAGCTGGCTGAACATTGTCCCTAAAACTGCAAGTTCACTGGTTCGGTCCCCAGTCAGGGTGTGTACCAGATAGATGTTTCTCTCACACACCAATGTTTCCCTCCCTCTCTTTCTCCCTCCCCTCCCCTCTCTCTAAAAATAAATAAATAACTAATCTAAAAGAAAAAAGGCCACCTACTACTGAATGGGAGGAGATATTTGCAAATGATACTTGCAATAAGGGGTTAATACAATTAATATAAAGAACTTAATACAACTCAACAACAAAAAAACAAATTTGATGAAAAACTGGGCAGAGGATCTGAATATTTTTCCAAGGAAATACACAGAAGGCCAGCAGGTGTATGAAAAACTGCTCAACATCACTAATCATTAGGGAAATACAAAGCAAAACCACAATGAGGTATCACCTCCAACCTGTTAAAATGGCTATCAATAAGACAAGAAATAAGTGCTGGAGAGAAGCTAAACCCTCATGCACCATTGGTGGGAATAGAGATCAGTGCAGCCATTGTGGAAAACAATGTGGAGTTTCCTTTAAAAATTAAGAGGGGACTGGGAAGGGAGGATAGGGGGAGGGCAAGTCGGGTAAAAGGGGTTACATATATGCTAACAAAAGGAAACTAGACTTTTGGTGGTGAGCATGCAGCGGAGATACTGAGTTGTAGTGTTGTAATATAGAGATACTGAATTATGTCGTAGAGAGCTGAGAAAGCATGCAAAAGGAGTGCCTAAGCTTAGCAGGGAGCCCTCCCCCTCCCAGGGCTGCTGGGGCTTTTTGCCAGTAAGGGGAGCAGAAGGCCACAGGTTGGATTACCTGAGCCTGAGGCCACCTTCAGAACCTGGAGGTGCAGAGGCTTAGTCCCCCTCGCATCCTCCATTCTGTTGAGGTGACGGCCGTGGGGATTTGGCTAATCTCCGGCCTGTATCTTCTTCCCTTGGATCCATTTCACAGCCTACTTGCCCCAGTCGGACTTGGTGCCCAAGGACGGGGAAGGGACGATTCCTGACCGCACTGGGAGAAGGTTGGGCCTTTCCAGGTATGGGCCAGAGCCCCCTCCCTTTTGGAGCTCATCAAACCGCACAAGTAATTTTTTTAAAAGATTTTATTTATTTATTTATAGGGAGGGGAAGGAAGGAGAAAGAGAGAGCGGGAAATATCTATGTGTGGTTGCCTTTCACATGGCCCCCACTAGGGACCTGGCCTGCAACCTAGGCATGTGCACTGACTGGGAATCAAACCAGAAACTCTTTGGTTTCTGGGCTGCAAGCCCACGCTCAACCCACTGAGCTATGCCAGCCAGGGCCCCACAAGTAAGTTTTGAAAAATCTGGGTGCCTGTACAAAACAAGTCAGAAAATCCTCCCTGTGTCCCTAAGAGCAGAACGCCAGCTTCTGCTGGTGGAGCCTCAGTCACAGGGACACAGTGGACCTTCTGTTTGACTTGGCAACGAGGCAGGTAGCAAGACACTGAAGTGGCAGCAATGTTTCTGGGGCTTTGGAGTTCAGCGCAGAGGGATCGTGAGCGACCAAGACGTGGCTCCTGGTCTCGGGCCTGCGGTCTAACCAGGTAGAGAAGACCGGAACCCATCTCATGCAACCTCTTATCCCAAAGGTTCGGAAGTTCTTTTCTGATAAGCCAACGCTTCAGCTTCTTATTGTCCCAAGTGAACCACATTTAATAGTGATCCAGGCGACTGATTTACAGTAAAGTGGCCAAACTGTCTGGAAGGACAGATTTACAAGGGGTGCTAAACATCCTTGGAAATCAGAATCCTTCACTGGGAGAGTGACACTCATCGAAGAACACCTTCATGCCCTGGCTCAGTGGATTGAGTGTCAGCTCACGAATCAATGCTGTGGGTTCAATTCCCAGTCAGGGCACATGCCTGGATTGTGGGCCAGGTCCCCAACAGCGGGTATGTGAAAGAAGCAACCACACATTGATGTTTCTCTCCCTTTCTCCTTCCTTTCCCCTCTCTAAAAATAAGTAAAATCTTAAAAAAAAAACACCAAAAAACACCATCACAAAACACCAGTGAGTGGGGGATGAAACTTCTTTCCCAGAATAACAGGCTACTCCTTCCAGCAAACCACTGAAAGACACTTGGTTAGTACAAGCACATGGCTGAGAGCAGTGTTCTTTGCTGAGTGTGTACAATTCTCCTCCGCCTTCCCACATAAGTGCATGATGCTGGGACCCCATTTTATCTTCTCATCGCTGGCAGTGTAGCCCAATGTGGTCCACATTCCAGGTGCTTGTTAAAATGTGGATTTAAGGGCCTTCTTCACATCCCTCAAACCTCTTTTCCACCAAGGCCAGGCAATGGCCATGTTCAAGTAGAAAAGCTTCAGGAAGAAGGAACAAGCCTTACTTTCCACTCAAACCGAAGGGGATGGAATGTGCTCCTTGGAGCGGCCCTGCTGGGAGGACTGAAACTGAAGATGGGACAGAGATGAGCTGGGCCCAGAAAGGCACAGACACTCCCCAGAAACCCATGGGTACCCGCCATTCCTCTTTCCCTCCAAATTAAATGCAAGGAATTTTGGAGTAGGAGATAGTTAACTAACCTAACTCAACCTTCCGTTTTATCCAGAAGAAAACTGAGGCTCAGGACTAAGTGCCTCACCAAAGGTCAGAAAAGCAGGGCTTTTGCTTTTGTAAGATGCACCCCTTCAGCCCATGATACCGCTGTCATGAGGTGGGGCGTCAGGGCCACTTTCTGATACTGAGTCAGGGTCCCCGTGGCTGGTTGTAACTAATACGGGGATAGTGTGGCTTAGATCCTTTCCTTCTTTTCGCTAGAGCCCTGTTCCCATCTCTACTGCCATCTGTAGGACACTTCAGATCATTACTCCAAATTTCTACCTTCCGGCCATCTTCATATGCCCGGTACTCAGAACTGGTTTTAGATTCGGGTCAGCACCATCTCACCCACGCAAACCTCTAATGCCTACTAAGTGCCAGAGCCTGGGGATCTGAGGGTGAACAGTGCCAAGTTCCTGCACATAAGCCTCACCCTGACCTATGTTTAGATATTGTCTGAACCTATTATCTTACTAAACTACACTTGATCTTGCTCCTTTGGGCTCTATAGGGCCATAACTCTTTAAATTCATCTTTTTATTTTGAATTCCTGCAATTGATCATCTTGGTCTAAGTAAACTTATAAATCAGTTCAAGGTACACAAAAGATGCAATCATTTCTAACTTGAGTATGAACAGCTCATTCACTCGCCTGTGGATGAAAATAGTAATTATTCATGTGGTGCTAAATGCGTATTAAATAACAGTTCCAAGTGTGCTCTCTATGCACAGAAACTCATTTAACCCTAACAACATAGGAGAAAGATTGAGAGGCTATCATCCTTCTTAGTTTGATAAAACCCTAGCCAAGATAAAGCCAGGGCTGCAGAGGGACACACAAGTGACATGCAGACCCTACTGCACTTTCAGTGGCCACACTGCACACATGGCACTCTAGATGCTGTCTCCCCAGAGCTTGTGTACAGATGGCTGAGAAGTGAATAATCATATGCAATCGAGGCTATTTCCCAAATACCCCAGGAAAGCTGCCAAAGGCTCTCGCTGAATTGAGAGGCCATGCTGACAACAGTAAATATATCATATAGCGTCTAGATGCAACACGAAGTAACTGTCAACCTCAACCACCCAAGTTAAACGCTGCTCCCGAGAAGAGGGTTCCATTTAATCACTTCATAGGAGGTAGTGCTCCAGGGGTACAGTTTTATGAATACTAATTCTTCAGCCATAGCTTCCTTAGCAGGAAAGCATTGGGATGCACCCCCATTTCCAACTGTAACAGAAAGCAAACTGTCAAACATCCCTAACTAGGGTCTTAAAATTTCCGACAAACTGTTCTCTAGAAACACCATTTGTGCCTCAATTCTGCCTTTTTAACAAGGACACAGGAACAAAAAAATGCTTGTTTGCAAATAAACATCTGAAAGACTATCGTAACAGCTGATCCAGGCCAAGGCAGGACAACAAAGTAATGATTGTGGAAGAAGACAATGCAAACAATGTTGGTGCAAAAAACCCCAAAGGCAGAGAACTTGCGGCGATGCGCCTCTGGGGCGTTTCCACCAGCCCGTGGGCCCCACCCGGGGCCCATATTAGCCAGGAGGGGCTCCACCACTGGACCGCTGATTACCTGGACAGAAAAAACTCACTGCCACCAATAGCACTGTGCAGTTTTATTAACCATTCAAGTACAGTAGCATCTGGTAAGATAGGGACAGAATCGGGATTTCAAAGTAAACAGATATTCAGCATCTAACAATTTGAAAGAAGCCACTACATACTGCTTTCACGTACATGTTTTCACGGAGCCAATATAGTACTAGCCATTGACCCAGCACACCACGTGCACTGAAGTACAAAAGATGCAACAAGAAAAATAGCTACATTAGAAAGACTTCAACACTTTAGAAAAAGAGTAAAACACTTTCAGTTTCTCCCCTTTATCCCCTAAAACAACACCATACAGTCTGGTTCTACCTATGGTCCTACATCAGCTTCTAGCATATTTGTCGGGAGGGCAAAATAAAATGACACTGGCCAGTACAGTCTTTGGATATTTAGGAAGGGGAGGGGGAGAAAGTCAGTTCTCAGAACAAATTAGTCAGCTTCAGTCTCGTCAGCAGGATCTTTGGATTCCTTGTTCTTCCGCACTTCTTCAATGTGCTTGTCCTGTAAAGAAATAGTGTGTATCATCAGGCAAATGAAACAGCCTGCCGAGCCCCGCCCCCCCGCCCCGCAGAAGCCCAACACGGTGTCAGCACATTTACTATACATCCAGTAATATTTTAAATATGGTAGCTTCCCACATCCACGGTTTTGCTTTTCATGGTTTCAGTATAAACTGCAGCCAACTATGGAATGAAAACATTAAGTGGACAATTCCAGAAATGAACGTTTCATACATCTTAAATTATGTGTCGTTCTGAGTATCATAACAACTCCCACGCTGTCCCACTCCGTCCTGCCCAGGATGCAACATCCCCTGTCCAGCGCACCCCGCTGCCATTCCTTGCCTGTTAGTCACTTAACAGACTGACCGTCATGATGTCACAGCATTTATGTTCATGTAACCCTTATTTTACTTACTCATGACCCCAAAAGAACAAGAGCGATGCTGGCGACCTGGATTTGCCAAAGAGAAGCCATTCGCCACAGGAATGCATGCACGGGAAACTCACAGCACACACATAAAGGGTTGGTGCTACCCGTGGCTTCAGGTGTGCACTGGGGGGTTTGGAGCACATCCCACGTATACAGGATGGGAATCACATAATCAGAGTGTGAAGACATAATCTTGGAACTTCCTCAGTCACATGAAGAATATAATGACTGAGCCTCCTACTGCTCTTCCAAAGAAAAGTATAATTATGCCGGAAATTGTTGAATATTACATCTTTTTAAGAAAAATGTTTATCTTTAGAGAGAGGGGAAGGGAGTGCGAGAAATATCAATGTGTGGTTGCCTCTTGCATGCCCCCCCATGGAGGGCCTAGCCAGCAACCCAGGCATGTGCCCTGACTGGGAATTGAACCAGTGACCCCTTGGTTCATAGGCCAGTGTTCAGTCCACTGAGCCACACCAGCCAGGGCTGAATATTCCATCTTATTTAAAATTAAACTACCTCTCATTTAACACTTTATTTGTACATGAGACTTCAAGCTCTCAACCCTCCTCATTCAAGGCTGGGACACCGACCTTCTCTCGCAAACGCTCCAGCTTGGCAGCCATCTGTGCCTCCCGGTTCTCTTTGTTGGCTTCCATTTTGTGGGTCAGCTTCTCTTCTGCCATTTTACTGAAGTTGTTGTTCTCTTCTATCGCTTTCTGAAGCACCTCCTTCTCGTGCTCTCGTTTCTCGGCCAGCTGCTTCAAAACCTCAGCTTCGTGGGACTGAAAGAAGTTTGACAGGTTAGACTCTCTGAAATGTGTTTAAGTTAAAATTGCAAAAGAAATTATTGAAAGGTCGAGAAGAGGCAGAATATTAGATCTCTTTAAATGATACTGAAGGCAGCACCTGAATTATCTCTATCAAAATACTATAAAAATCATTTTCTAGTGTTTGTGTTTACCTGGAGAACTGTTTGTTTAGAGATTCTTGTCCAATTACTCAAGAAAATCCTTATAAGACTTACTGCTTAATGTTATCAAAGATGACTTGAGTGATATGCACTTAGGAATGCAACCTTTAGTAAAGAATTTGGTTAACTCAAAGTCTGCTCGAAGAAAATCAGCTCATAATGAAAAATGTAACCATATTTCACACTGATAAAATACATGAACGATAGAAAACTGAAGCCTCCAGATTACTATTTAAACCTGAAGAATTTCTGTTTGAAAGAGAAGCTTTTCTCCGTGGAAGCTGCGCTCACTTCCAAACCCCCGGAGCCCCATTACCACAGTGTGCTTCCTTTGACAGACTCTGAAGAGCTTGTTACCAAACAGATTCCGACGTGTTTGGAAGCACTGACTTGTAGGAAAACTAGAGCATCTGCCACTGTTTCTGTTAATTGTCTTTTGCAAAATCCCAGTCAGATAAATCCCAGTCAGCCTGTATTTTGCCATTTATAAATGGCAGGCTAATGACTACAGGGTCAGGGTTTCTTTCTAAAGGTTCTCTGTCCAGCCTTTGGCTGCTTCTCTTCCACGAACACGAACTACACAGAAGAGCAGGCAGGAGACGAGGCACCACGGCGAACACTGCCACTCTTCCCGGGAAAGGCTCTGCAGTGCTGACACTGAGAGCCAGAGCACACGCAGACGACCGTGGCGCTGAGAAGTGCGTAGGACACGCAACAGCAGCTGAAAAAAGGACTATGGTGTATGTATGTGATGAAATGTATTCCACTTCAACTGCACGAGCTGTGTTGGTTGGGGGCGGGTTAGTACTTCACCTTTTTGTGACTTAGTTTCCTTAATTTTAAAATTAAACCCATTTCACCCCAATAAGGGTTGCTGGTAAGGGGAATGAAATGAGAATTCTATGTAAAGTTCTTAATTAAAAGAATAACGTTAAGAAGGAAATACACCAGAATGTTAATGGTATTTCTAGGAAGTAGGATAATAAATACTCCTATTTTCCTACTTATAAATGTCTGTGGCTCCCAATTTTTCTGTAACAAGCATATTAATATTGTTGATTTTTCTGACTAGTTCTTTTTAAAGATGCCTACTTTGTAACGGAAGAGCAGCTTACATAAGAGAAAAGCTGAAACAGTACCAGAATGCCAGCTGAGCACCATGACCACATTACTAGCAATTTAAAATGTTATTATACATTTCTCAGAAAACAAAAACAAAAATACTATACAGGCATACACATAAACCAAAAGAAACCCCCTCCCCCAAAATCTAAAGAGACAAAAAAAGTCTCTCCCACCCACAAAACTGTTTCACAGTGAAAGCATGAGAACCGTGAACTTTGGTGTCAGACAGACCTGGGCTTGCACTCTTGCTCCAAAGCTCACTAGCTACTGGACTTGAGAAAATGACTTAACATTCTCAAGATCATTTTCTAAGCTCAGTATCTCAGTACCTACTCTTTTAGAGTCACTGCATTAAAAGAAAAAAAAAAATATATATATATATATATATAAGAAGTTGGTACATAATAGGAGCTCAATAAATGACGGTTGGTATTTTCTTCCAGCCACTGGCATTATGTAATTTTCAAAGTTATAACCACTGTCTAGCTATAATTCTGTTTTCCTGTTATGGAAATAAAACTGATTTGCCACATTACAATAATAAATACTTGTTTCTGTGAAAATGTAACGTTTACCTTGCGCCTTTCTTCTGCAGCTTCTAATTTCTTCTGAATTTCCTCCAAGGAAAGATCCTTCTTCTTTGGAGGGGAAAGGGGGAATTCTGGGACAGATTCTTTTGATCGAGGGCTTAGAATCAGCTCAAAAGCCTGGCCTGAGGCACGCTTCTCCAGTTCTTTCACCTGGATATCTGGATTTGATCACATTTACAGTGTATTCAGAAAAATGGGGTTTTCTTATTCTAATAAACTATTCTATAATTTTCTAAAAGCCAAATCAATTGAATAAATAGAATTAGGGCCAAAGAAGCAGCTGCATTTGCAAGCAAAAAATTATGTAAATACCGTCCCCCACAAAAACTACATTAAACATTTTTTTGATTCATAAATACCATTCTGAGACAGCAGTATTTGACAATCAATTTCACAAAAAGACTTGGGCAAAATTCCACAATTTTACTCAGAGCAAGCCAAATCATTTAGTAATGAAACAATTATAAGCTGTCAGTCTGTTCAAATGATAACCATTTTTCTTCTTTAGTTATTCTTTAGTTTATAAATACATTTTTGATAAAACCAAAAACACAGGTGCCATCTCTTCTTCTAAGATCATAAGCCCATCACAAATTCAGCTTTTCCAGTTTACCTACCCGAAGAAGCCATGGTGAACTGAATACAAGAGTCTGGCAGTATATTCTACACAATCCACTGGCAGGAAAAGCCCTGAAAGTGATTTTCAAAAACATGCAATCAATTTCTTTGTATTTTATGTCATCTATCCAGAGGGACATCAAACCACATCCACGTAAATCAATGTCAGAAAAATCACTACCGTGGACTTAAATAAGACATCATCAACTAGAAATTATGGAAACCTCTAAAATACCAAACATTAGAAAATCTGAATGTTAATTGTAGAAAATCAAGTTAACCGAGATTGCCTGTTCAGAAAACAACTCTTGGATTAAAAAAAAATTTAGACTAGGTTAAATCACAAGATTCCCGCCCCCCCAATAAACTAAATTTTAATCCCCCCCCCCCACAGTGAGAAGATATTCCAGATCAGACTCAACACTAACAGTGGAGCCATCTTATTACTGCCTACAACTCATCGTGCAAATGAAATACCCACCCTCGCTTTGTCTGCCTTGGTAGAAAACAAAACGCCCAAGCTAATACTAGCCAGTATCGAACTCCTATTGTTCTTGGGGCTTAAGCTCCTGTCCAACAGGGGGCAAAATTAGTTTCACAAATCACTAGGTTTTAGGTTATAATATTTGTTGCCTCATGTCATGAAAAATTCTACACCCCATCTTGATTTTTTTTTAAAGGTCGTGATTCTTGTAGGCCCAGACTAGAATCAAAAACGTTAGCACTACAGGTTTCCAACAGCTGGAAATTAAAACCAGAGGCAGAGAAAAGGTCTAACGCTAGCAGAGAAGTAAATGCAGCAGCAGACCCCAGGATGGATGTAGCCCTGGTCAGGGAAAGGAAAGCTGGAGGCCGCCCCCGGCCAATCATAACACGCCCAGTGCTCCAGCTCCTGGCCCCGCCCCCTTCCTCCCCGCGCCTTTTCGAATCTGCCCGAACTCACAACACTCCAGAGCCCGCTCGCGTGGGAAGGGGAGGGGTGGGCGGGGCTAACGGTCCCATCCAGATAGCCCCGCCCATCTCAGGCTGGCCGCCCCCCCCAGCGGACGCCCCCCCCCCAACTCCCGCCAAAACCACCCCGAAGCCACCCCCACCACCGCTGCGGCTCGGCAACAGGCCGTGGGATAGTCACCACCTACTTCCTTCGCTCCCACCCAACCCACCTCCACCCTAGCTGTCTGCGCGCCCCCCGTCACATAGACAGAAGCCTTTTGGGGGTGTTAGGCTCTCAGGCCCCACAGTCACTGGGCGAAGATCATCGCGGGGAGCGGGCGCAACCCTGGCTATGCGCAGGTCCTAAGACTTCTGGGCTCCCCGTAGACACCTCTCCGCCCCTTCAGACAATGGGGACCCCAGTGAAGCCGCGCCTGCAGGGGGAGTGAGGGAGGCAAAGGGGGCCCACGCCCCCTATTGTCTCCTGGACAGTACTGGGGGCTAACGCCCAGGGCTGGCTCAGCTGGCCGAGACCCTTCCCCACGATAGCCGCGCCCCCAGGGAGCAGGGACAAAGCCCAGGCTCCGCCCGAGCTTCACACAAAGCGAAGCGACCCCCGCCCATCAGCCCCTCTGCGGCCCGCGGCCCCGCCCGCTGCCCTCCAGCAGGGTGCCGCTACAAAGGCCCAGCCCCTCTCGCCGGCCGCGTCCTTCTTGCTGCCCCCAGCCTCGTCCAAGAATCGCACACCCACCTCCTCGGTCCGAGCCGCCTGGCCACACTCTGAGCACCAACAGACCAGAGCGCGCACAAAAGCGCCAAACAGCGGCACGTGACCTCCCTGCAAGGCTCTGCATTGGCTGAGAAGTGAGGCACGTGCCGGCCCCTCCCCCAACAGACTTGTTGGGTGGGGGGGGGGGTCCTCTGGACCCTGAAGCACATTGGGAAATGTAGTCCTGGCTGGCGGGGCAGGAGGACAATGCGAGGGGTGGGAGCGTTTGTGGGTTTCCCCAGGTGTAAGACCTGGGTCGGGGCGGTTGTCTCCAGGCAGAAAAGGATGTTCCCGTGGCCGTGGCCGGTGGTCTGGATCTCAGCCAGCTCTTCCATCCCTCGGAAAAGGGCAGGACGGGGAGGGGCGGTGTCCCTCCGCACCTCTCAGAGTGTTGCTGCTTGGACTCCTTCGGTTGACCTACTTGCTTCTCATTGCCGAAAGAGCAATACTCAAACTGCGAAGTGCCCCTACGGTGCCCCACCCCGTGTCGCTACCTCAGACATCCAGTCCTTTGTGACAAGACAATGCTTCTCTATTCCCCTGTTAAGGCTCCCCGCATCGGAGTCCTACCTTGACACCCGCGTGTCACCTGCATTGTGACATCATCATAATCCCTAACCCACTCAGCCCTCACAGATTACGGGTGTGGCCCTTTCCTCATTGAGGTCGTTCTGCTACTACCCAATAGTTCCCTGAACTAGTGACCAGAGCAGATGCGGGGAAGCGTGAGTGACTGACTGTTAGACCAAAAGCTCTGGAATTTGATCTCCTTTGGTCTAACAGTCACTTAGCTTAAATTCGGACTCCATCTGTTCTGCCTAGCCTTCGGCCAGATGATGGGGAAGAACAATAAACTGTTCTAACTACACAGACTGCAGTTAAGTGTTGCTTTTGTTCTTGGAGCACGTGCTCCCCAGAGCGATGCTGGGCTCTTTTTAAAAGTCTAAACAAAAGGAGCCACAAGGTCATGATTTCTCCCTGTCTGGGTAGATAGCAGTACGGCAGAGGTACAAAGAAAATTGGTTGGACCCTGGCTATCAGATCTCAATAGAATGGCCTCCCTCTTCCCACAAAAGGGCCAGAGGAAAAAGAATGAAATGAATATGGTTCCCAGGCCACTCCTATTCTGAGGAGTGGCTGTGTCCTCAGGCTGTGTCCTCAGGTGGTGGTCATGACACCAATGCACCTGCTTTGGACACCTTCATTTTAGTAATTAATGGGCTCCCTCTCCCCAAACCCAGAAAAAAATGCGACCAACTCTGCTGAAACAACAGTCCTAATTTTAAAAGCCTCTCCATGTCCAGCTAGTCACTAGGGATATGCTGGAGAGAAATACAGAGAATAGGTTCCTGAGACAAGGAAAACTGGATCATACAGGCAGCAGACATGCCACACAAAGCAAACAATTAGCAATGTGCTGTGCCCTGAAATATGCTTGTTCTGGCATTTTCTCCAACAATTGCCCTTGTGTGGGGTCGGCCTCTCCCCCGCCCCCAATATAAGTGGTTTTCCCTTAGCATATGAGCAGAACCAGAAATAATTCAGATTCTGAGCCCTGAAAGACTTCTCCCTCTCAGACCAAATTTGGCCATGAAATGGCCAGGTGTTTCCATCTATGTCAGTTTTCTAAGTGAAATCTCAGAAATCATTAGGAAAGCTGGAGAGGGATGGGTACCAGACCTCACTGAAAAGTGACAGGTTGGCAGGCAACACAAGTGAGCAAGGAACCCAAGGCCAAGAGATCTGTTATCCCCTGAACCAGGCTTTGTCTTTACATCTTTGTACTTGATCTGCAAGTTTCCAGAGGAAGAAGGTCCCACCCAGTTGATGCATGAAAAAAATACAATAAAGTACCATACAAGAATCTCACATTTCTGACTATTAATGTTGTGACAGGAAAAAAATTAATCTTTCAAAACACTGATTATTTTAAAGCACTTACACCACTTCCCCCTACCTTTTCTTTCTCCCTGGAGCAGATGTCTATTTCCCTGGAAACCATAGTTAGCAACAAAGATGTTAGAACTCATGTACATTTTTAATCTTTCTTAATGATGCCACTTAGCTTCTGGATTTGCCGTCAGATACCTGGTCCTGCCAGTCTCTGTGACAAGGATTTCTGAGATCCTCCTCACTGTTGCTTGGGGACGGAGGAGGCTGGGATAAGATTTCCCCTCGAATGACCCCAAGAATAAAGAGGTGCTTGTGTGGTGGGATAATCTCTGTCCTGTAGGGTGGGGTTGTCTTTCTGAGAGCCAGACCATTGCTGTTTACCGTCAGTTCGTACGGGGGTTTATGTATGAGCCCTGGAACAGGAGGAGCTCTCAACTGTGAGGAGAGGAAACAGTTTTGCCACTTCACAGTGGAGAGGGACAGACGGTCCCTTTCTGCAAGCTTCCTAAAACTAACTTCAAAACCCACTCCCTCCTAAAGTGGCAGGAAGCAGTTAATGTTCACATCTCGGCACTATCTTTACCCTTGAGAATTATTTTTGCCTCTGCTCAGATGGTTTGGTCGAATTGCTCTGGAGCTGGCTGTAAATGGATAAGCACAAAGTGAAGTCAAGATATGGCAGTCATCCAGCTTATTTGATCTGTGTAGACAGCTAAAGGAGAGCACTTCAGACTTCAAAGTGCGGAGGCATGTCTACACTGATCAAACGTGCGGGGCAGTCGTCAGATCTCCTCTGTTCTTACAGAGCCCAGGCAGCCTTTGTTCATTGTTGGTTCTGAGGCTGCAGGGCTCGTCTCCCACACAGGCGCTGTCGAGTTCCACTGTTGCTTACAGGGTCTGTCCTTGGCATAAAGGGTGTCAGGGGAGAGGTTTCTCCTTGTCCCTAGACTCTCTGTCCTCTTTGTCCTCTATTCCTTAAGCATCAAGCTCTAACACTCCCTACCCTGTTCAAATGCTGTCTTTGAATCTGCTGTTTAACCTGCTGTGGCTCCCCTGCTAGAGTAGTAAGTCCAAGGAGGCAGGGGTTGTATCTTTGTTTGATATCCCTCATGCCCAGAGCCAGGCCTGGTCCAGGATGGTGGGGCCTGGACATTTGCAGCTGACTTTAGAGAAGGACAACCTCTCTCGCCCTCAGCAGCCAGTTCTGTAATGCTAGAGGATTACAATGAAATCATGTATGTAAAAGTTTTTAGCACTGCGCCTGGCACATTATAAGCGCCTAACTCTTGTTATTATTATTACTAGTAACTGTTATTACTAGAGAAGTCTCTTGCTTGCTATCAGTTACTGAATGAATGAATGGTAGACTTTCACTATGTGGTGGGAATCATAGTCACTGGGTTAACTCTTTCCATGGGGTATTTTACAAATTTCAATCAATTTAACACTTTATCATTATTATTCTTTTAAAATATTTTATTTATTTATTTTTCGAGATGGGGAATGGAGAGACAAAGGGAGAGAAACATCAATAAGTTGTCTCACCCCCTACTGGGGACCTGGCCTGCAATCCAGGCATGCACCCTGACTGAGAATAAAACCAGTGATCCTTTGCTTCGCTCAGGCCGGTGCTCAGTCCACTGAACAACACCAGCCGGGGCAAACACTGTAAATAGATAACACATTCACATAGGTTAGAAATAAAGTATAAAAAGCCCTCCTCTCTTCTCTATCCTACCTGCCGAATTTGATACCTACTCCTCCCCAAGCATAACCATTGTTTATCTTCTTGTGTGTCCTGAAGTTTCTTCATATGTACACAAGCAAATTTGTACACACTCTGCTTTCCCTCTATAATACAAATGGTCGACTACTGTTTTGCACTTAGGATTTTTTTAATTCAACAATACATGTCAGGGATCTTTTCCTACAGGGTTGTGTTCATAGACCAAGCATTTCCTTATCTGGGATCCACTGCATGAATGAATGTTCCCTAATCTAGTTAACCAGTGCTCTTTCCATGACTCGTGTTGTTCCCAATTGTTTGCTATGTCAAATGCTGGTGTAATGAATGACCTTGTATAGGAGGGGGTAACCTCCCCTGAAAAAACCAACAAGAATTATCTTCTGGAGAGCGGGTCCCTCCAAGTACAGGCTTCCCCTGCTGGGTGAGAGCTCTAGGAACCCATCTGTATCAGCTGGTGTTGTTGTGAGAGGCTGTGTTCGACATCAGTGAATTTTTTTTGAAGACTCTTTTAACTTGTTTGCCCATTTCACAATGGGTGATTTATGAGCACACCTGCCCACACCATGCTGAGTGTTCAGCAGTCTTTGACCAAAAATGGCACGACTGCCATGCCCTACCCTCACTATTCACTCATTTCGCCCCCAGCAACTTATTTTTGTTTCCCAGGATAAATAAAGTCCTCAAAGGGAAACATTTTGCAGATGTTTTTGTGGATGTGGGAGAGGTGAAACAAAAAATGGCAGAAGCACTAGAAGGCTGTTGAAAAAACATCTCAATAGATACATGCATCAAATGGAGAGTACTCTGAGAGTGACTAAAGTTTAAACATATGAGAATAAGTACACAATCTTTTATAAATAGATTCCCCTTTTGGGGGTCCCTCCTTGTCATGGCATTTTCCATGTGGGTGATATATCTGTAAGATTATTCCTAGAATATACGGAGAGTTTATATATTGTCAAAGGGCAAACTGCCTTCCATAGGAGTTGTAGCTCATCATGTGGGTTGTTTTTTTTTAAGATTTTATTTATTTACTTTTTAGAGAGAGGGAAAGGGAGGGTGAAAGAGGAGAGAAACATCAGTGTGTGAGAGATACATCAACTGGTTGTCTCTCACGTGCCCCCAACTGGGGATTTGGCTCACAACCGAGACATGTGCTCTAACTGGGGATCAAACTGGCGAACTTTCAGTTCTCAGGTCGGTGCTCAATCCACTCAGCCACACCAGCCAGAGCTATGTGGTGTTTTTCTGTTGTTTTTTTTTTTAAGATTTTATTTATTTATTTTTAGAGTGAGGGGAAGGGAGGGAGAAAAGTGGAAGAGAAACATTGATGTGAGAGAGACATATCCATCCGTCGCCTCTCTCATGCGCCCCAACCAGGGGTTGCCAGACCCGCAACCCCGGACCCGTGCCCTGCCCGGGA